AGGATAAAGCAAATATTTACTTTTTTGAAAAACATTGAATCCTTCAAACAAAAGGCCATGTTAACTTAGGAAAACTGCTATAAACTTGGACATTAAATCTTAGACTGTAAAAAGAATAATCCACAATGTAAAGAACACAATCAATTCAATACCATATACAATTATGTAAAGAAGACTTACAAATGTGATAAGGAATATAAAAAGATATTGAAAGTCTTTTTTTATATAATAAAAACAAAACTTGGCTTCATACCTCAGTCTATGGATGATAAAAACATTCATGATGAATACATCATATATTGGCATAGTATCACTTTAAACTGGTCTACAGGAAAACACCCATTGCAGCATCAATCTGCACTTCTGCATTTAAAATGTGTACAATGAATAGAAACAATATCCTTATACAAATAAATACCTATACTCATTTTACATCTGGCCAAGATAGGACGATCTTTCATTAAGTGATTACACACTTGTCCTTAATGAAAGACTAATTGCACATAAGAAGGTTCCGTTAACAAGAATGGGGGAAAGGCAATATTTCAACTGGCTAAACAACCTGAAAACTTGCAAAATAAATAGGGTTTCATTGCTGGCCTTTCAGGCATTTAATACTCATAGTAGGGAGACTCCTAATGATATACAGACTATTTAACACTGCCATCCGTGTAACTGACATGTCTATTTAAATACTAATGTATATGGTATCTTTTCCTGTTGAAATGTAGGAATAGTGTTCAACAGAAATTGATGAATACGTTGAGCCTGCAGCAGTGCCAAAATGAACTTTGCAGCAAAGAATATAATAAGGAAAATAACTTTTGAATGAATTGTTTCCACATGAATATGACTACTTTTTCTGGTAACATTCAGTACATTTTTTGTTACATGTAAGACAATAAGCATGAAGCACAACACTTCACTGTACCTATGTATTGAAAATAGAAATATTTCATCAGCTCTTTTCTGAAATAATGTTTTGCATGAAAAATAAGTATCGATATGCATATGCCTAACCTTGATAATATCCACAAATATGTGCTCTTTGTTGAAATGTATACATACATAATTATATATACTTCATAAGTGACACATATTAAGTGTTATGTACACGTGTGAAGGGCCGGCAATCATGCCCATAAGCAGTTTTTTCTTCTTCTGCAATAAGCTGTATTTTTGCGGTCTAAGCATTCGCCACATCTACATTTATACATCTCTGATTCAACATTGCTATGTTAATACACCATATGTTTTGTATTTCATGATCAGATGCAGCGCTAATGCTAAGTTCACACCGACGCCGAATTGATGGCGCATTAAATCGGCGAGCAAAGCGTAAAAAAGCTTAATTAAATCGTAAAGACCGTAATAGAGCGTGAGAAAGCTTTGAGCAATTCGGGACATTCGGCAAGAGCGCCAATTTTTTTAAACTGTTTAAAAATTTGAGGCGATCTGTCACGAATTGCGTAAAGCGGGAAGAGCGTATTAAAGCTTATCAAAGCGTCACAAAGCTTATCAAAGTTTTGCTCAAAGCGTAGGAAAGCTTAACAGAGTTTAAATTTTTGGCGCTCTTGCCGAATGTCCCGAATTGCTCAAAGCTTTCTCACGCTCCATTACGGTCTTTACGCTTTAATTAAGCTTTGTTACGCTTTGCCGCTGCTTTACTCGCCGATTTAATGCGCCATCAATTCGGCGTCGGTGTGAACTTAGCATAACATATCTCAGGAGATCGTGAGATTTTTTGAAAAAATGACGCCGAATTGATCGCCGATTTAAAGCGCGACATTCGGCGTCGGTGTGAACTAGGCATAAGCATGCTAAACCCATTTCGAGAATGTTTGATATAAATTGGAAAAATAAAGATTTTCAGGTTAATCAAATCAGTTGGCAGGATAAAGCATTTGAGATATCCCAATGTCCATCATGCACCAGTATAGCATGAAATATACCGGCATAAGGACGTTATTAACTCTTTATACTACCGGCATTCTATGCCCTACTAGATCTCAATAGACAATATGAGATAAATGTGACATCACATTGTTAACCTTTCCTTATTCCACAAATGCTTGTATAACCTAACATAATCGCATTGATTTTAGTATAACTTGCTGACCTACATGTGTATCTTGATGTTGATACTCAAAATGCTCTGAAATTTGCTCAAGCGTTCACTTGAGAAATAATGACATCCCATTCCAAATAAAAGAAATTTTAATTCCAATTTGTACATTGACATGCAAACATTCTTGAAGGCAGCAAAACATTTTCCCACATCCTTCAGTCAGAAGCTTTTGACATAAGATATTCATGTGGCATTCATTCATATATCATACCATCTTGTTTATTCGACAGACAGCGGCAAGATGGAAGGAGAGAGAGACGAAGCTATTAAAATTTGGCGACAGAAGGTGTGATGTTCTCAAAGCCTAATAACAAGTGACATGTATCCTGTTAGTCATGGTAGATGTGGAGAGCTGCTTGAAGCAGGCATCGGCCTTGAGAACAACGTCTTCCTCTCTCCCTCATCTGCTCATTAAAGGAGGGTGTCATCGTTGTCATGTACAAAGCAAAGCACCATGATGATGAGTATTGCCTTGTATTTAAAAAAACTTGATAGCATAAAAAGCCAGGTATGTCCTAAATTCTATACCTCAACATGTTATTGGCGATTTTCTCAATTACTGCCCACAATGACAAAGACAACTGCACTAAATGGTGAGTTCTGAGAGCATTAGCCATTCTACATGTCTCATAGTTTCAAAATGGTTACATATCAGGAAGCTTGACAACATACGCAAATGGGCAAATTCAGAGTCTTGAACCACCCTGTTCTACAAGTAAACAATTAACCAAATAAGCTGTAGCAAATTCCATTTAACATCATAAGACTGAACACACGTAGAAGGTATGAATAACTCGCAATAGCATCACTTATTCACTCCGATATGGTGAATATAACCAGTTCATATAACATCAGACTTGAAAGTTGAAAATGGGCAGACAAAGTAGACAAGCGTGAAGGAGCAGCAAACAATAAATGCAGTTATCAAATATATTTCCTCCCAAACATCTATTTCACTTGCCTAATTGAGAGATAATAAATAAATGAATACTGTAATGCTTAGCTTGCCCTGTTTGGGCAAGTTTATTAAATTGCATGTGTGCCTACTGGAGCCCCTTGGGGGGGGGGGGGCAAGAATCACCCTGTATTCGATATAAATCATTGAGTGGATCATAAGTGGATAATATCAAATGAATATATTATGTATGGTCCATTGATCATAAGAACTACTACACATAGCAGCATGGTAAACTCTTTATAGGGGAGGAGATTCATCATGTTTCTTCTAAGTGAAAAAAAAATCCACCTGTTTTGCTTTATCAGAAGACAAACACGTGCACAGACTGCAAAATGAGATGATTGAAAAGTCATATTCACGACACTTGTCAAAACAGAAATGCTTTACCCCACTATAAGAACTGACCTGCTTTCTCTATTCGGTGGCAGGTTTCACACTAAACCTGTTTCACAGACAAACACAATATCATATCCTCTGTGCCAACACCGGAAAGAAGGTAGACTATTCTTTCAATTTCTTTAAAAAGGACTTGCTTCAGAAAGTGTTCCATTTCTCCTTTTATTCACTGCATTGTGTTTCAATGATTCATAACTGGGCCATTCCTAGATGGTATTCCTTCACTTTACTTTCCATGTGGTTTGAAGTGTAGAACTCAACCATGAAAATTTTCATTTACTTGATATTTCGGCACATCCACAACACCATTCTCTAGTAAACATATGAATTTGGTGCGGTAAAATGAAACCTTTGATATCAACTTTGTTCATTAATGTTAAACCCATAACCAAGGGAGAAAAGGTTATATTTGAGACAAAATATCCTGCATTTGCCCAAATTTGAAAAATTAACTTAATCTCCTTGATGGTTACTAGTTTACAACAACAAAGGCCATCCACATGCACAGAATTTGTGAAAAGAAAGAATATGATTATACATTGGTACAACTCAGCCTTGTCTATACATCCTGCTGTTTGTTTCTGGCCATTTATTAGTGGTAAAAAAACCACTGATGCAAGATATTTCATACCTAGCTACAGACTGTCAATCATCAGGAACAAGTGATTAAAATAGCTGATTTTCAGGAATGTGGGGAAAAGATATATTCAAACCCCGAATTGCTGATCGTTCAGGCACATTGCATCATGACCATAGGCATACCAAATGATTCTGGATTTTAAAATTTGATCATCTCGCGGAAGTAGTTCAGTGATTTTTGTTTCAGAACTATTCTTGAACCACTGATTGACCTCTATGATTGGTCATAACCTGCCAGGTCAGGGTGGAATACTTTTTTGTATTGAATCCATTGGTCAAATCTATTGTTTGAAACTTTTGACCACAACACAGCTTGGGGCAGGTCTGGTGGAATTTGGATATGAAACCAGGGTGGTGAGGTTGAAAGCAAAATGCATGGACATGAACATTGCAGAATGGAATGGATGAGAGTAAGAGAGAGAGGAGGGAGAGAGGAGGAGAGAGGAGGAGAAAGGAGGAGAGAGGGAGAGAGAGAAAGAAAGGAAGGAATAGAAGGAGAGAGAGAGAAGGAGAGAGAGAAGGAGAGAGAGTGAGAAAGAGAGAGAAGGGAAGAGAGAGAGGAGAGAGAGAGATAGAGAGAGAAGGGAAGAGAGAGAGAGAGAAGGGAAGATAGAGAGAGAGAGAAGGGAAGATAGAGAGAGAGAGGAGGAAAGAAAGAGAGAGAGAGGAGGAAAGAGAGAGAGAGGAGGGAAGAAAGAGAGGGAAGAAAGAGAGGGGATACAGAAAGACAGATAGCAAAGCGAGCAGGCAGTAAGACAAGGAATTAACAGAAAGACAGGATCTGAAGATTCGAAACATGATTCCTGAAAGCAATGCAATACTAAATAGGGTGTTGAAATCGCCCCAAGATGATATCATTAAACTTGGGATCATGTTGCATGTTATATCTTACCTAACAATTGCTCTTTTAGGTAAATCTCATTCATACCCACTGTAGCAGTAGACTTTAAATCAAATTTAATCATTCCTAGAAGTTGAACAACAAATAAAAAAATATCTCAGAATCTTTCCAAGATGTTTTTGTTGTGAAATTAAGCAGCAACGATTATTTTTCATATTGCTATAGCATTGAAAAGCAGATAATACCTGATAATTGAACAATGCAACACATAAATCCAGCATTACTTTTATATCACGACTATTAAAAACCTTAGGATAGAGGATATCTTCATTATCGTCTCTTCTACGAATACATACTTGTATCATACATCTATTGCAGCCAAACCTCACACATGACATAATATAACAGGTAAAACAAACTTAGGTAATCTCAAGTATACAACAAACACATTTACTATTTCAGAAAGGGATCTAAAACATATCATCAAGCTAAGGCAATACATAATTCATGTGAACGAAACCAAATTGGGGTATTAAATGTTGGGCGTACATGAATTACTAATGAAACCATTTCCGGCCCTGTTTAGAACAAGGTTTTGAGGGATATTGGATTTTAAACAATCCACTTATAAAAAGTGATTCTCTAAGCAGAGTCGATGAGATGCTCGGAATAGCACTCTGCTGCAGAGGTTGAGACGCTTATAGCTGCTGACATCCCTCTTCTGGCATGCAGGCACCTGCCGTAGCCCCGCCCTGGTATAGAGTTCCCATAGGCGTGGCTTGTTGATTCTGTGTGGTGCGCATCCCCTTTCTTGTAACGTTCTCTACTCAATGGTGCGCGAAAAGCACGCATGAAGCGGACATGGAGGCAGTGCGGATGAACGGCTGTGACCGGAAACCTGATGCGGGTAATTTGACAGGTTGTGTGTTAAACTCATCATCATCATCATCATCCTCTTCGTCAGCACTGGGCCTCAGGAACGGCACCATGGACATCCATCTGGAGGAGAAGCCTACGTCACTCTGAGTTCCAGGGACCAAGGATACTGGTAGGATTGGAATGATGGTATTTTGGTTCAGGAACGCAGACAGTTCTCCTGTATAGCAAAAACAGAAAGAAAATAAAAGAAAGGAAGAATTAATAAAGACTGTTTCATCAGTAATCACAACACATTTTATGAAAACTTGGTTTATAAGCATTATTATAGTCCTCAATGTAGGCCCTACATCATGAAATATGGAATCATTCACAGGTAACTGGTACATGTGTATGAATGTAAATACAGAGATGAGTTCCCATAAGATTATAGAAAGTACAAACTAGAGTGACTGTAAAAGAAAGTCTTCTATTAATTATTAACAATACCTGTATTTCATCAAGAGTTTATCCAACCTGCTTGATTTGCTTCCCTAAAAAGTTTCAAGGGGAATTCGTCTGAACAAAGCTTTATGCTCTCTAATAAGTAATATCTGATGAAGTTTGTAGGACACCTGACTGTGCATGTGACCCATAGCATGGGGTTTATACAGGTCATTGAGGTTTGTTCCCTTTATTAGGGCATGAGAGTTCAACTCTTTAAAGGGATCCGGTAACTTTGTCTCAGATCCTTTTTTAAAAATCCTTGATTTAGCTCATGCTGTAACGATAACTATTAACCTTTAGGTCAGTCAGGAACCCCATGACTTGTACAAGCCGATCGCCTGTCTGATTATCAAGATATTTATGATTGAAAATCAAAATCAAATTTTACCTTTTCCCAATGATTTTCATAACACTACAGTCTATTGGGGAAAACGAGTATGGTAAAACCACCAAAGATTTTTACTTTTTTGAGGCGCTTCTTGACCATTTGAAGCGCAATTTTTTTAGGGCTTCAATATTACACCATATCACAGACACTGATAACACTTAGGGCCGTGCATCTCAGATTTAACATTGTTAAGCGATGCCTTTAAAGAGACCCACTAACTCTGCATGGTCATCCTCTACTAGACAGACGCTGTAGAGATGATGATCATCAAGAAGAATTATTACTTGCCCTTCAGAAGGGAAGCAGTTCAAGCACATGGTTTGATTGGAATCAACATCCATCATAGCTGCATGCTAGAGATTACTACTTTACTACCATCAGCTGTTGAGAGTCAAAAGGGTATTAAAGGTAAAGACCAGCTTTGGAAATGCCCCCCCCCCCCCCTCTCAAAAAATGAAATGGAAGCTCTTATTACCAATCATGTGAAAGAATATGTTTTGACTAATACGTGATGATACAGATTTGCCGGGGAAACCGCGTACTAATTTTGGTAAATTATTATATCTTTCCGGACTGGATAGATATCGCGTAGTCCCGTATACATCTTTCTGTGTATAGTGCTTGTAACTTTATCAAGACTGGGCCAAATTTTGATGATTCCAGAACCTTGCAGTACACACCAATACTTATATGCTAGATGATCAACCTTTTCTGATTGATTCCACAACTTTTCTTTCACAATGTAATCGCATGACCAGAACTGGTCCTTTAACCTTCTTATTAACGATATAAGTTTATGCCCTTTTGGTCTGAGCAGATGATCTAAGTTTGGATGCAAGGGAAGCTGATTTGTGCACCAGTAAAAGGGAATGCTTTTAAGATGAAGGTGACCAACTGACCATCGATGACAGATACATTTTGAAATCACGGACCAAGCAATAAATCTTAGGCAGAGATGTTATTATATTCATATTCACAGGCAACAATGCCCTAGCTAGTGCCTAGGTCGACTACTTGCTTAAGTACATGTCTCTTTATTTCTTTAAATGCTTACTAGGCCTAAAGATAATTTCAGTCAAATGAACCATAGTTTGCACTACTCAAAGAGTCACCATCGATCAAAGAAAAAACAAAGATGGTGACATTTATGAAAAGTGACATCAGTATTTTTGTTCACACATGAAGAAGAAAAGCAGAAAAACATTTCTGTTGGTTGATTGATATACATAAAAACACTCAACATGATATACATAAAAACACTCAACATGAAATCCAAATTCAGTCTGGCTTGAAAGAAGCTGTTGAATATAATTTTTATTTTTATACCAATCATAATAAACCTTAGGCTTTTCCTACCAATATCTAGTCTCACTATGGAAACATTACTTAACCCCATTTGCAATGTTAAGCACTATTTGGCTACAACAACACAGAAATACATATCAATTTGCAGGTAAGTCTGGCCATGAGAGGGTTAAAGATGAACAATTGAGGAGGGTAAAACCACAAGATCAATTAACCCTACAGGGCAATGGAGGGGTACAAAAGAACTCCATAATAGGAATATTAGCCCCAAAATACTAGTTATGAACCTGGCAGGTTTAGTGCCTACAGAATATAATTAGGCCCAAGTATTTTTCTCTCTGTATGGCTCAACACAAACAAATATGATAGCCCTTTAAGCTTTGTGAAAGGTTATGTTCTTGTATGGATTCTTCATCATTGGTCTACAATTTTTTAGCTCTAGGGCACTTGTGTATGATTGTACAGTCAAGCAAGCAGGCAATAGGGGAGGGGTATCTACTTTGGACCATTTTCTTTAAAGTTTGGGATGAAAAAATTAGTCTGGAATCGTTGCGCTTTTGTCGGTGAGAGAAAGGCCTTCCGGCAGGCAACCTTAATAAATAAAAGACTCTTCCAGAGTTTTGCTTTGATGGGTTGATATCAGCACTCTTGAGTGAAGAAGAAAAAACAGTTTGAGGGGTTTCAAAACCTGTAAGTGATTTGTGGTTTTCCATCTGTTGATTTACAGAGATTACCTTCCGCTATTTATGCTTTTCACAACTGAGCAAACCATTTGGTCTTCTTTAGTTACTGCTCAGAACATTGATGGTATTGTGATGAGTAAATTGATCTTGAATGGATCATTTAGTATCAGTTATAATATCAAAATTGAACATCCTACAAATTGATACACCACAACAATATGTGAATTTAATTTCAAAAGACGGACACAGCGATGTTATTTCTTTGCATGTGAAAACAAGATGATATTGCGGTTTGGTGTCTACGTCACGGGATGATCTCCTGCTTATTGGGAATGTCATTTAACTCATTATAATACCCCAGCATGATTAGAGGGACCTGTGATGCTCATACAGTAGGCCTGTCTTCACTATCTCGAGATTGCCAAATATCCAGCTATTTGAACTATCCGATCCCAAACTATCCAGCTAATTTGCGTCTTTATAGCGGGATATTTGGTCGGGATTGTCATCCCGAGATATCTTGGGATAGTTTGCAAAATTCCAAAATATCCCACTATTTTGCAAAATATCCAGCTATTTGTCCTGTGCGTCTTCACCAGACCGAAGACTCGCACTATGCGCTAACGTTGAGCAAAATATCTCGAGCTAATATCTCGAGCTAATTTCTCAAGGTTGAGTTTCAAGTTTTGCGGTCGAATCTCGAGATGATGAGGACGCGCCTAGTGTGTCTGTACAACTAGGTACTGGTGAGGCCGGGTGACTGACTGAATCTAGAAGGCTGACATATGCAAACATCATCACTGCCTTCCACCCGTCTCCAAATATACACATACATACAGATGGCAGTAATGAGCTTCCACTATCCATGTGTGTGTTGGGGTTCCAGACATTGCTTTCTATTTATACATCATTTCAATCTATTAACAGATGTTGTTATTTCTTTCCAGAAGTCTAGATTTTTAGCCAGCAAAAAGGACGGTAAGGATTCTGTCTCTTCCTTTGTTGCCTAGGTGACGGGTGTGTGACAAATAAAAGTAAACATAAGATATGATCATTTGAATGACACAAGACGATGTCAAAAGAATTCCCTTGGGGTTGAATTAAGACTAACATATACAGTGTATGAAAGGTCATATTCTAGACTCTCTCATCTCTTTCTCTTATTTTCTGTATATATTCCTCTGCCACACTGGTATGCCAACACAAGTACAAATACAGGATCATTTGTCTTTTTCTTGCTAACTTATTATTTTATTCATTATGAGAATTTACTGCATTAAATCATTTAAGAATCCCAGAATAAAGAAAATAGGTACATGTACATGTTTTCTTGTTAGACATATGACTAAAAACTTGAATAACTAGATTGTAGGTTATTCAAGCAGCCTGATGCGTAACTTAAAAGATAGAAGCCTCTATATTAAAATATGTTATCTCATATCATGATGAATGTACATGAAATGCCTTTGTAATATTTTATGTCTGGTAAAAAAGAAAATACCATAATTCCCAGGACTACACAAAAGAGGGTAATATCATACTAGAACTTTGTATGCACCTTGAGTATCCACTGGGATGGATTAATATGTGCGCAATATTAAATTATTATTAGGAACTGGAGCTTCTAAAGGAGATAAAAGTCAAAAGGCATAAAGCTCAGCATCCAGTCTCTCATCACTGTATCATATCAATCAATATGCATTTTTATTTACATGACAGAATTCACAACAAGAGAACTACATGTATGTCTGGTTCAAACAAACGCTAATAATTGAAAGAAAGATATTGCGGACTTGCTGAGTATGCAGTATGCATCAAGCTAATAAATGGGGCATCTCATTCCAATTTAGATATGCGCCAAACTGCCCCAATATCATCCCCATCTTCATAAGAAACCAATCAATTCTCCCTTCTGAGTCAGTCTCCAAGCTTCTCCCCCATAAAATATCCCTCCATCTCACTATTCATACTAAAATCTAGGTCCACGTCCGTCCTTCGCATGTTCATGTTTATCTCCTCCCTATCAGCATGCTACTCAGAAGATACGTCGCGCATCCCCCCCCCCCCCCCTCCATCGCATCTCATATTGGAATTCCAAACGCACGAGCCCCGACTTTTAATTGCTCGCCGCCTCGAGATGGCGAGGGCCTTGAAAGGTTCGGTTATTTTTACTCTCGAATGAAGCCTTTTCATATTTCTCTTTCTAGCTGAGCTACATGAAGGTTTGGATTCACTGCACACACTGTAGGGTTCGTGCAGGAAGTGTGGTGTTTATGAGATGAGGGTGGAAGGGCATGTTGAGGCGTACAGAGTGCAGCGTTTATTAAGCATCAGCGCTCCATTTGAGAATCCCCTACT